TAATTCTCTAATCCCTCCCAGAACCCTACTAAAATGACAAAGGAATGAAAAGAAAAATTTTAAGAGAACTGGAGAGAAGAGACAGCAGATAAGAGAATCCACAGAATAGAAGCTTGAAAGTGATTATACAAGGTGAATGGTAAACTCTCTTAGCAGAAAGCTGAAACCTAAGTCTTCATGGGGAGAATGGAGTTAAAAATTAAATCAGTTCACATACAATAGAACCCTAGACTATCTTCAGAGATCTGGAGGCCTCCATTATCTCTGAAGGCAAGGGATATGGGGTGGTGTTAAAAAACAGAATTGATTAAAAAATTTTAAAATAGCCCAGCTGGTGTGGCTGAGCAGTTGAGCATCGACCTAGGATCCAGGAGATCTTGATTAGATTCCTGGTCAGGGCACATGCCCTGGTTGCTGGCTCAATCCCCAGTGAGGGGTGTGCAGGAGGCAGCTGATTAATGACTCTCTCATCATTGATGTTTCTCTCTCTCTCCCCTCTCCCTTCCTCTCTCTGAAATCAATAAAGATATATTTTTTAAAAAATTTTTTTAAGTTTATCCTGCAGATTCCTGGCTGAACAGGAAAGGGGAAGGAGACTACCCAGGAAAAGACTGGGCACTTACTGTCTAAAGCAGGAGTGGGGAACCTTTTTTCTGCCAAGGGCCATTTGGATATTATAACATCATTCGCAGGACATACAAAATTACCAACTTTAAAATTAGCTATGATAAAAGCTCCTAGATTCATTGAATTTTGAGTCCCACCTGTGATTGCCTTGGCAGGGTCAGACATTCCCCACCCCTGCTATACAGTGAAACCCATTGGTTGGAAGGCTATGGACCACCCATCCACGCCATTATCAGTCAGTATTTTAGTGTCCCACAATCAAGGATCACCAAATGTTTTGGGTTTTTTTACATCTTTTGTTTGTTTATTTTAAAAATATTACAGATGTCCCTTTTTCTCCCCAATGACCCATTCCACCCTGCCCCCCCCCCAGTCCCTCGCTACACCATTGTCCGTGTCCTTGCGTCGTGCATATATGCACAGTGCATATATGCACATAAATTCTTTGGTTAATCTCTCCTCCTCCACCCACCCACCCTCCTCCATCCCTCTGACATTCATCGGTCTGAAGGATCACCAAATGTTTGAGGAAAACCTTGGGCCAATATAATAGAGATCAAAAAAGAAATAAAAGGAACCTAATAGAACAACTCAGTGCTGGGAAACAGGGAAGAACTTAAAAGTTAATATCCTCAGAGAGAAGAGAAAGGATATTTCATCAACAAAACAAGACTAAAAAAAAACTTTTAGAAATTAAAAATATTATAGCAGAAATTTAAAAATTCAACAGGAATGGACAATAAGCTGAGAAATCTCAAAAGTAGTACAAAAAGTCAAAGAGATGGTAAAGTAGTAGCCCATGAGGTTCAATACTACGTAATAAAATTTCAGTAAGGAAAGGTAAAACAAAAGGCAGAAAGTTATTAAGGAAACTACTACAAAGGAAAATTTCTCAGAATAGTAGAGTGTGAGTATTCAGATAAAGAAATAACCTAACACTTAGTAAATGAGGAAAGAACTACACTAAGTGCTTAATAAAATTCTAGAACCCTGCAGATCATAATATCCTAAGAGCTTCTAGAGAGAGAAAACACCATGTATAAAAGAATGTTAACAGATGGAGCAGTGGAGCAATGCCTTGAAAATTCTGGGGAAAATAATTACTAACCTAGATAATTCTATACCCTGCCCAAACTAGGTGTTAGGGTAAAATAAAGACATTCTCAAACACATAAGAGCTCAAAAATTCATTGTCCCGCACCTCTTCTCAGAATTCTACTGAAGGTTATGTATACTTCACTAAATGAGGAAGTAATGAAGGGACAATGAGATTCAGAAAATGAGTTCCAACCCAGGTAAAAGATAATTGGGATATCAGATTGATGTTAGAGGAGTCCTGGAATGACAGTTGAACAGCACCTTTTAAAGAGTTACCAGTTCAAGTTGGAGCAAGAAAAAGGAAGAGTATTTCTGAGGCAGTGGGCAACTGAGTTGTGTTTAAGTATATTAAGAGATTTTTTTGTTGTAGAATTGGCTAACTTAATGATTGTTAATATAAGAAAACAAGGAGCCCATCTGGCGTGGCTCAGCAGTTGAGCATCGATCCAGGAGATCTTTGTTTGATTCCCGGTCAAGGCACATGCCCCAGTTTTGGCCTCGATCCCCAGCGGGGGTGGAGGGGATCTGCAGGAGGCAGCCCATCAGTGACTCTCTTTCATCATTGATGTTTCTCTCTCTCCTTTTCTCTCTCTGAAATCAACAAAATATATTTTAAAAAATAGAAAACAAAGCAGTTATTAACCCTAGGAAAAGCAAGAAGTTGTACAAGAACAATAATCATAATTCAGTATATGGTTCAGCTGTGAATAGTGTTTATATAGTTATAATGTAATATTGCTTATATCAAATGTTGATATGTCAAAAAAGAACATTAGGATGGAGGCAGAAAAGGAGATAGGTCAGTGATATAAGAAGAAAGTCTTTACCTTCTATAGCAGTGATTTTCAACTGGCATGCTGCAAGAATTTTTAAAACATGTAATACCTGACTGTTTAGTCAGGAGCACTGACCTGTTTTCTCTTAGATTGTCAAATAAAAAAATGACAACAGCCAACACAACAACAGCCTCCAAATGTGAATGGATCAAAATTATACCTGTTTTGTTTTTGTTTTTTATCAGATTAGCAAAATATATATTTTTTGGAGTGCCACAGAATTTTAGTAATTAGTTTATATGTGCCATGGGATGAAAAAGGTTGAAAATTGTGTTTCTAAAGTAAAAAAAAAAATTAGAAAATATCTGAAACCAAAAAACAACAAGGTAGACTAGTATAAGCATGTTATTTAGAAATAAAGAGAGAAATATTAAAAGAAACAGCTAAAGGACATGATGAGTGCTTTTGGGAACAAAATCAAGAGTAGGGATTTCTGTAGTTTTTCTTTATAAGCCTAAAAGTGCTTTTTGACTTCTTAAAGCATGTGTGTGCATTATTTGGATAAATAGTAAATGAAAATACATATCACTGCTGTCCAAAGGCAGATAGATTAGTAGGGTGGATTTGTGAAATGATCTCCAGGAAACAACAATTTAGACAAATCCACCAGTATTGAACACTTGATTTTTGTTATTGGAGTTGCTCAGTTATTACCTCAGAATTACACAGAAATACGTGAAATACCTTTTGGACTACATTTTCACACTTAACATTGGCCAGAAAACTAACAGTTCTTCCCATAGAGAGCATTTTGTCTAAAGCTGGCTTCCTAAGATAGGCTTGCAAGTGAAGAAATGCTATGTAAACAGTACATACTCATTAAGTGTTCAGTGAATGAAACCTGAAGAAAATTCAGCACCCATAGGGCATGAAAGTCACTGTGTAGCTACACCACCGCAATTCTCTATCTAGCTAAGGAAATATTTCTAAGAAAGTGTCTGGGTACCTATCACACATTTTTATTTCAGGCTTCTTTAAGCAATTTAAATAATCTATATCTCTTAAATACACATTAAAGGGTAGGAAAATAAGTTCCTAGAACTCAGCCAGCCACCCCTCTCCCCAGTGTTGAAATTATATTTGTTACAACAGTTCTTGGTTGGACATGTGTGAAGGATGGATAATAGCACAAAACCAAATAGTTATTATATAGTAACTTAAAGGGAAATTGGTATGCTATTAAGTAGAAAGTAGGCTGTAACCCACTGGACTAACAGAAGAACCTCAAATACATATGGTCTTCTAATAGCAGGAAACAGAGCTCCTAGTTAGGGTGATTTATTTAATTTATTTATTTTTAAAAATATATCTTTATTGATTTCAAAGAACGGGAAGGAGAGAGAGAAACATCACTGATAAGAGTCATTGATCGGCTGCCTCCTGCACGCCCCCTACTGGGGATCAAGCCGGCCACCTGTTCATGTGCCCTGACCAGGAATTGAACCCCAATCTCCTGGATTATAGATTAATGCTCAACTGCTGAGCCACACCCACTGGGCAAGGGTGATTTCTTTTGAACAAAGTCAGTAATCGCTTTGTGAGGCAAGCAAGGTTGAAGAGTGAAAGACCAGTTGTCATTTGCACTGTAGACTTTGAGGAGAGAGCAATGACAATACCAGCCACAATTTATTGCAGACAACAAGTCTATTGACAGGTATAGATGACTAATAACATAGACTTGATGGTAAAGAAAAACTAAGAGCAGTAATCTGTAAAGATGCTAACACAATTTTTGTGGTTAGCAGAAACTATCCTTTATCTTCCTTAACCTGGAAGTACGTATCCCATAGAAATATATTCCCAGACGGGACGGGTAACACCAAAAAATAAGTCAGAAGTGCTGCAGCCAGAAACATTTCTATAACAGAAAGCTGTTTTAATCAACATTTCTACTTTTCCTAATTCTAATTATAAAGTTTGAGGAGGAAAGAGGATACTTATTTGAATATGGTACCAGTGGTTAAATGGTAATTTCTAGTTGACAAGGGCTGATGGACTGGTTCCCAGGTCAGCTCTTACTTGAGGTAAGTTAACAGTACCTGTTTCTTAGGTCAGAGCTGAAAAACGACATATGATGTGCATTATTGATATTAAATAATTTGACTTCTTATATATACTTTTTATTACAAGATGGCTTAAATATTCATAGGGTGCCAGAAAATGTTGACTAGAATTTTAATACTAATACTCTAAGCATAGCAGTATTACATGCTTTACCAGTTTTCTCTCTTGGAGCCTCTTATATTCTTCTTGTATCTGTGGCTTACCAAGATAACAAAATTAGCATTTGGAAAAATTATGTAAATGCAAGTACTATTATTTCAAGTGCAACTTTTTTACATATTTTAACTTTCTTTTGTCAGTATCAGTACTGGTTTTACAACCTTTTAAAATAAACATTAAGACAAGGTAACCAGGTCTTTTTGTGTCTTTGTACAGGAGAAATTAAATACAGTGCAGTGGGAGGAAAGAAAAATGCAACAATAAAGATAAAGGTTTGTTGAAAATCTTTTTCTTAGATAATACTTTTTGGTTTTTAGTAGATAACCCTACTACCTTAGGTATATAAAAATATTTAAATACAACTATTACCTACTATCATGGAGCTTTTTTGTTTGCTGTTTCACTAACCTCTTTTTACTTTTCTAGCCTCGAAGATCAAATCAGTGTACAAGTCAGTACTTCAGAAATTTTTTCTCCAATATGTTTTCTTCTAGTAGTCACACTGGAGAATCTTCTTTTACCTGTAGATCTTACTGGTTAGTATTTTCTACTTTTAATTAACTTTCGGTAAAAGTTTATATTCAGGCTCAACAAACATTATGAAAGCCTACCTTGATTTTTGTTTCTTTTGGAAAATAAACTAGTTTTAGCAAAAATGATAAACTCTGTAATGCAATGGTTTGCCTATGCTTTTGGGTTTTGTTTTCATTAATAATAAATTATGCTACACAGGCTTTTTATATGATAGAAAAGTAAGCTAGTAGTCCCTGAAAAGCAGAGCCCTTCAGAGTAGATCCAGTCATCTTTGAATCCGTAGTGACTGGCAAGTAGATACGAAGTAGATATATGTGGATTTGAAAACTAAGTTGGAGTTTTAAAATCACATAGAGTTGATTGAACTAACTAGACAGATTATGATTGTATAATTTATGAGCTTGACAAGGCACCAAAGAAAGCACTTACATCTGAGTAGCCTTTGAAATGCTGAAGTATACCCATTTAAAAAAATTTTTTTTTTTTTTTGGTTAAAATGACTGTACCTTCCTTGATTTTCTTTTTTTGTCCTCTGCATAGTTTCAGATGGAAACTATTGTACTTACAATTTCTGCTGGAACTGCTTGCTATAGCTTTGGTTCATGGAATAGAAATAGCGTTGGGTTTTTTTCCCTCAATAAGTAAGGATATTAGTCTGAATTGACTTTTTAAAAATTCTATCACTTAAATAGAAATTCAAGCATTATTTTTATGAATCATAAATATAATTTGGGTTTATAATATAAATATTTTACTAACTTTAGGAATGAGTTCATTTTTAAAGTGTTTAAATAGAAAAAGGTTCTTATTCTTTTAAATGTGATATATAATGCTAAATATGAAAACAACTGCATATATCATGAACCTAATTGTTACCCTAAACTTAAAGTTTTGGAATTCTGATGAAGGTGTAAAATTTATCTTTTAGTACAGAATTTATAGAAGTCAATGAAATCAGTGCATTAATTAGGCAGAAGAGACAGGAACTGGAATTGTCATGGTTTCCTGACACATTGCCTGGAATTGGAAGGTAAAAAAAAAAAAATTGTTCACTGAAGTGTTTAAATGCTAACTTGAGCATAAGATATCATTTATACTTACATTCAAATGTATCTTATTTAGTAGTTATGTTTCTAAGATAGTTTTGTGCAAATTATACTTTGGTGCTTCAAATACCTAACAAAGATTCCTATTTAAAGAACCCCTTAAAGAGTTTTTTTATCTGTTTAATAAATGTAGATACCTGATTCATTTAAAAGGGATAGTGCCTAACTGATAAGATTCATTATTAGTAATAGCATTTATATCTGTCATTCTCCCTCCCCTCTTTTCCCCATTCCAATCTTACCTATGTGCTATTAGCTGAATCACTGCTTTAATTATGTTATTTCCTCTCCAAAATGTACCTTTAAGTAATTATTTGATCAAGCCCCTACTCTGCCCTGGCATTTAAGACTTTCTATAATCTAGTCTTTTCTTAGTTTAAGTCCTGAAGCTGCTAGCACATTGCTAGGTACATGATATATACTTAAATCAAGCTTGTACATAAAGATTAAGGTCGTTGCCTGTAACTTGAACTTTATTTCATATAGCACTGTAATGTAGTTGTGCATGGGGCCCTCACACTCTAGGAATAACAGTGTAACACAAATAGAAGTAAAATTAGGAAGTCCAGATATGTATAATATGAAACCTTTTCTTCCAGTTATGTATTTCTGTACATGTACACGTTGCACATTTTTTTTCAAGCGTCTCTTCCCGTACTCCAAAATCTCACCTTATATTGGATAGGATAGTCTTGTTAGGAGACCTGAACTGATGAGCAAATATGAATCAGAAAAAAAGCTGAGAGTGGATTGGGTTTGCATACAGAAACTTTAGGGTCTTAGCGGGTCCTTAGAGACACAGGGAACTTTGAAGAGCCATCATCTTTAAATGGAGGAATTTCAAAATATAGCAATAGAAATCAGGTTTTTAAAAAAGTTACATGTTTTGCCCAGCCGGGTGTGGCTCAGCAGTTGAGCATTGACCTAGGATCCAGGAGATTGGGGTTCGATTCCCTGTCAGGGCACATGCCCAGGTTGCGAGCTGTAGCCGATCAATGACTCTCTCATCATTGATGTTTCTGTCTGTCTCTCTCCCTTTCCCTTCCTCTCTCTGAAATCAATAAAGATATATTTTTAAATAAATAAATAAATAAAAATTAAAAAGTTACATGTTTGAGGCCTTGATGTACGCTATAAAACAAAGACATGTAACAAAAAACTGGTATCTATAAAATGCTTCAGAATTCAAGTAGTATAGTTCTATTTCCAATATTTAAGTTTTTATTAACTCATGGACTGATTTCCCTTTGATCTTGCTAATTAATTTCTTTAAAACCTTTATTTGATTAATTTGACAAAATTCTCTCTTCAGTTGCCTAGAAAGGGGGATGGGGGAAAGGGCATGAAGGTGCTCTCTCAAGTGGTGGAATGATTCATTTTTTTTATTGGGGTGATGGTTACACAGATATGTACAGTGATCAAAAGTCATCACACTGCACAGTTAAAATCTGCATTTTATTATTCAGGTGTCATTTTAGAATAGCAGAAAAAGTAACAGCTAAAAAAATCTTGATAAAAAATTATTTAAAAAAGAAGAATCAACTATTATATATTTAAGTTTACTATGATCTCCCTTTGCCATTAATTTATCTGAAAAATATGCATTTAAAGGGGGCTTTTTTTGTAGCCATCCTTGAACAGTGAGTAACCCTGAATTTACATTTTTAACTATTTGGGCAAAAAATAATTTAAGCATGCTGTATTTTCATATTGCTAACCTTATTTGGAAAATTGCTGGTTTAATTTTTTTAAACCATTTAAACAAAAATGTCTTTATTTTGTTTTGAATTTTCAGAATTGGTTTTATACCCTGGAATACTGAAACAGAAGTCCTTCCTCTCATCCCTTCTGTGTTGCCAAGAACTGTTTTTCCAACAAGTACCATATCTTTAGAGAATTTTGGTAAAGTTTGTGAAGTTCTTTTCTACTTTTTAAAAAATTATGAGCTGCTTTTCAATCTCATAAAAAGTGAGTGTTGATGACCTAGAAAAGCTGTTAAATAAGGTTTAAATCGTAAGTCTAAATATTTCTGTAAATATTTGGTCAGTGACTTGACTTTAAAATTGTTCAAACTAGAAAATCCTTTTTATTTTAAGAAATTTCAAGTTAGTTTTCAAGGACTGATTAGAAGTCTCCCTTCTGTTTAGGGCTTCAGTGTCCAAACCATAGACCTTTAGAATTAACATCTATTTCTTAACTATGAAAAAATAATTTGAGTCTTTCTTTGTGGATAACTTGTTTTCTCTTGCATTTTGCCTAGGTAATACCAATTCATAAAGCAAATAGCAATTATTAGACCAAATATTTTCTTTTGTTTTTCATTTGTTTTTTCCTATAAAATTGCCCACATGGATTCAAATCTTGTGATAACTTATTTCAGGAGCATTAAAAGAAGCTGAGAAATACAGATACTACTCAGATACTAGTAGCTGTACATTTATTCATAGTTTGATTCCTAAGTGTATTTTGTTTCATTCTGTTACAGACGTCTATTTTATGCTAAAATAAGCTGAAGCCACACTATTGTTTTTATTGAAACATATACTTACTTTTTACTCTTTAAAATAAAATATTAGGTACGTCTTGCATGGGACATGCATTAGCACATACTCAAGAAGGAGAAGAGAAGAAGCAAACTTCTGGTACATCAACCACCAGGGGATCAAGACGAAAACCTGCAGCAGCAACTCCTACAAGGAGATCTACACGTAACACAAGAGCCGAAACAGTCACTCAGTCTCAGAGATCCCCAGTATCAAATAATTCTGGGTGTGATGCCCCAGATAACAGTAATCCATCTGTAAATGTTTCTTCTTCAGCGGAGTCAGAAAAGCAAACAAGACAGGCCCCAAAACGGAAGTCTGTAAGAAGAGGAAGAAAACCACCTTTACTGAAAAAGAAACTTCGGAGCTCTGTGCCTCCTCCTGAAAAAGCATCTTCCAGTGATTCAGTAGATGATGAAACAGCGGAATCTGACACACCACCTGTGTTAGAGAAAGAGCACCAGTCAGGTGACGAAAGTAGTAACACTTGTACTGTGCAGACAAATGTAGAAAGTAAGTCTGCTAATAACTTGAAAAGTTGCAGTGAGCAAATAGAAGAAAGTGAGGAACATACTGAGAATCATGATACAGAGGAAAAAGAGGAATCTTCACATTCTGAGTCTTGTATCCAAGATCCTCCCGTTCTAGTTGGAGCCGAGGAGGAAGTTCAAAAAGTTGAGAATACAGATACCGAGGAAGTTCAAAAAGTTGAGAATAGAGATACTGGGGAAGTTCAAAAACTTGAGAATATAGATACCGAGGAAGTTCAAAAACTTGAGAATACAGATACCGGGGAAGTTCAAAAAGTTGAGAATACAGGTATCGAGGAAGTTCAAAAAGTTGAGAATACAGGTATCGAGGAAGTTCAAAAAGTTGAGAATACAGGTATTGAGGAAGTTCAAAAAGTTGAGAATACGGATAACAAGGCTAATGTTTTTTGTTTAGAAAGTGAGATTTCTAAAAATATTTCTGAAGAAGAAGGTGATCCACTAGAAAATCAAGACCAAATATCTCGACCTTCAGAATCAGAGGTAAAAGCAGATAAATGTACAGATCATCCTCCACATGATTCTCTTACATATTCAGCATCTGAAGTTGAAGTACACCAACCTGTACCAAGCCTAGGTGAGTTATCTGAGAATGCAGAGGTAGTGGTTAATGCAGAAAAAGTTGTGGAGGGTCATGAAGATAAAGTTATAGGTATTAATGATGAAGAGGTTATAGGGAGTCCTATAGTAGAAATTATTGATGATAAAGATTCTTCAGTAAAAGCAGAACATCTTGTAGACAGCCCAAAATTAGAATCTTCTGAAGGTGAAATTACACAAACAGTGGACAAAACAGCTGTTGTGAGCTCAGAGATTCAGTTGCCTGGGCGTGTTGAAACTGAAGATGCAGAAATAATTGCAACACGTGATACTACAGGGAATGAAAATTTCAGTAGTATTCAAGACTCTGAAAATAATTTATTAAAAAATAATCTTAACATCAAATTAGACACATCTTTAGAAGAGAAGGCTGAATCCCTGGTTGAACATCCCAGAGCTACAAAATTACTTAACACACACATTGAACAGATTCAGAAGCATTTGAGTGAAGACAATAATGAAATGATACCTATGGAATGTGATTCATTTTGCAGTGACCAGAATGAATCTGGAATTGAACTGTCTGTAAATGCTGATGCTAAACAACTGAACAAAAGTTCTGCAGAGCACGGTTCTCAAACTAGTATTCCATCTTCTGATCCTGTAAGTGAAAAGGTTGAAACTGTATCTCAACCATTTGAAAGCCCCGTAGATATGACAGATAAAGCCAAAAAGCCTCGTACTCGAAGATCTAGATTTCATTCCCCATCTACAACTTGGTCTCCCAACAAAGATGCTGCACGGGAAAAGAAGCGGTCTCAGTCTCCATCTCCCAAAAGGGAAACTGGAAAAGAAAGCAGGAAGTCTCGATCACCATCTCCCAAGAAAGAATCTGCAAGAGGACGGAGAAAATCTCGTTCTCAGTCCCCAAAAAAGGATATTGTAAGAGAAAAAAGGCGATCGCAGTCTCGATCTCCAAAAAGAGATAGCACTAGGGAAGGCAAAAGGTCAGAATCACTATCCCCAAAGAGAGAGAGTTCTAGAGAGAATAGAAGATCTCAGTCAAGAGTGAAAGATTCCTCTCCAAGAGAAAAATCCAGGTCCCGGAGCAGAGAAAGAGAAAGTGATAGAGATGGATCGAGGAGAGATCGAGATAGAGATCGAGAAAGGAGAACCAGAAGGTGGTCTAGGTCCAGATCTCGTTCTAGATCACCATCAAGATCTAGAACAAAGAGTAAGAATTCATTATTTGGTAGAAATGACAGAGATAGTTACTCTCCTCGGTGGAAGGAAAGATGGACAAATGATGGTTGGAGATGTCCTCGAGGAAATGATCGGTACAGAAAGAATGACCCAGAGAAACAGAATGAAAATACAAGAAAAGAAAAAAATGACAGTCCAGATGCTGATGATCCAAATTCTGCTGACAAACATAGAAATGACTGCTCCAGTTGGGTAACAGAAACAATAAATTCTGGGCCTGATCCAAGGACCAGAAATCCAGAAAAGTTAAAAGATTCCCATTGGGAAGAAAATAGAAATGAAAATTCAGGGAATTCTTGGAATAAAAACTTTGGTTCAGGTTGGATGTCTAACCGTGGTAGAGGTAACCGTGGCAGAGGCACTTACAGAGGTAATTTTGCCTACACAGATCAAAATGAAAATCGGTGGCAAAACCGAAAACCCCTCTCAGGGAATTCAAATGGTTCAGGGAATGAGTCTTTCAAGTTTGCAGAACAGCAACCCTATAAACGGAAAAGTGAGCAAGAGTTCTCATTTGATACACCTGCAGATAGGTCCGGGTGGACATCTGCATCTAGTTGGGCTGTGAGAAAGACTCTACCAGCAGATGTGCAAAACTATTACTCACGACGAGGGAGGAATTCCTCGGGCTCACAGTCTGGATGGATGAGACAGGAAGAGGAAACAACTGACCAGGGTAACGTATTCTGCACTTCTATTTGAGAAAAGAGATTATAAATTTAATATCTTATTTGTATGAATTGAAATGATCCATCTTCATAGTTTTATAATGTTAAATTGAATCCCATTTGTTTACACACTTTACATTTTTAAAGTATATCTACACAACAATATTTATTTTCTTCTTTCATTCCACCCCTGCCCCAGACTTTACCAAAGACTTTAATATTTTAAGTACAATTTGCTACAATAGAAGAATTTAGGATGTTTTGATGCAGGATTTAACTTTTACTTATTTTATTTCAGATGTATGCACGTGAATTATTTTGAGAATTGTTCTCATGTAAATAAGTCACTCTTCCAGTAAAGATTTCTCTTTCCTTGGCTTTTTTGTTAATAATGCAAGAAATTATTTCCAATTTAGTAACCTAAGTAAATTTTGTATTTCTTCAGTCAGTAAGTTTCTTGAGCTGTTGATTCTTTGCCAATAGCGATGGATATTATCATGTAACCTTATTCTTAAAAATTATTTTAGATGAATGTTTTCATTTAGAAAATCAGCCCACATTATTTAGAAATGACAGGGTAAAGCCAAGTAATTGGAGATTGGTTTAGGTGTTCTTAGTCTGTTAATTGCTATTTAATTTTCCTATAACCAGCAGTTACTTGCTTCTCTGTCTAAAGAAATTTGTAACATGATCTTTTTCACAAGTCTTTTTTCTTTTGATAGATTCTAACCTAAAAGACCAAACAAACCAACAAGGTGATGGTTCTCAGCTACCTATAAATATGATGCAACCACAAATGAATGTAATGCAGCAACAAATGAATGCACAACACCAGCCTATGAATATCTTCCCATACCCAGTGGGTGTTCATGCTCCTCTGATGAACATCCAACGCAATCCATATAATATTCATCCTCAGCTACCCTTGCATCTGCACACAGGAGTACCTCTCATGCAGGTAGCTGCTCCTACCGGTGTATCTCAGGGACTACCACCACCACCACCCCCTCCCCCGCCATCCCAGCAAGTCAGCTACATGGCTTCACAGCCAGATGGAAAGCAATTGCAGGTATGTTTTTAGCAACTCAAGTTTAATCAGCATAGCCATTGGAAACATTTAGCTATTAGGGGCAGGTGTTCAAGAAAGGGCATCCTGGCATCCAAAGTAGTTATTTTTTTGATTAGGTTTATGCAGCGATTTTCAACCTTTTTCATCTCATGGCTCACATAAACTACTAAAATTTTGCGGCACACCAAAAAAATAGATTTTTTGCTGATCTGACAAAAAAATAGTTGTAAACTTGATTTATTCACAGCAGATGGCTATTATTGGGTTGGTGTTGTCATTTTTATATTTGACAATCTAAAGAGAATGAGGTCAGTGCCCCTGACTAAATCGTCAGGTTTTGAATGTTTTAAAAATTGCGGCACACCAGTCAAAAATCACTGGGTTTATGATAAATCTTCATAACCCCTTTTTCACACTTCTTCCCCTAACCTCCCTCCCCCTAAGTGAGAAACTGAATTGAATGTATATTACTAAGTCTAGGCTACATTATGCTGTCATTGATATCCAAACAGGTTTTTTCAGATTAAAGAGACCAGATAATAATGAGCCAAACTAGAACTGTCATGGGAGCTTTAAAATTTTTCCCTAACTTACTGGATTTTTTAGGGGTTGGAAACTTGTGATAAAATATTGTAATGAAGCTTGTATTCTCTTGTTTGGACAGATGCCAGTTAATGCTGTTCATTATCCATTACCGTCTATTTCATTTTCACAAATTTACCATGCTAAAAAGAAGAGGAGTCTCTAGGCATATAGATAATTTGAATAGTAATTTATAAACATTGTGTTGCTTATAGTTTTATGTCTACATTTCAGAAATTCTAGAATCCTGACAGCAAGATATAGTTGGAAGAAAGGGGAATGGGATTCCAGAATACAGGATCTTAAATCTTTTTCTGCTATCAGCTCACAGCAAGCCAGTCACCTTCACTGCCTCATTTTTCTCCCGTCTTAAAGCGGGCACTAATTTCAGTCAATTTCCATTAAGAGCCTTGCAGGAAAGATACTGTTCTTTAAATGTTGTTCTTGTTTTTAGTGTTAATGTCGTAACATTACAATACACATACTATAATTTAAAATGATGTTGACATATTTAAATAGGGCTCTGTTTAAGAATGTCACTCATTTTTCTTCACAGTCCTTTAAATATAAATGACCTGAAATATGCATTTCTCTTAGGTACTAAGGTTGAATTGCTTTGAATTTTTTAAATGTTATTTCTAATACATGACTAAAAGACTTCTGTTGAGTACAAGTAGTTCATTAATTGACGATAACTCTTTAAAACAGGGTATTCCTGGTGCTTCTCATGTAAGTAATAACATGAGCACACCAGTCTTGCCTGCTCCGACAGCAGCCCCAGGAAATATGGAAACAGTTCAGGGACCAAGTTCTGGTAATGCTTCGTCATCAAGTCACAGCAAAGCCTCTAATGCTGCTGTAAAATTGGCAGAAAGCAAAGTAAGTGTTACAGTGGAAGCCAGCGCAGATAGCTCGAAGACAGACAAGGCAAGTTCAAGGTTGAGAGCAACCTACATAATTTTGTATCTGATAAAATTGAAAAAATAACAGCTTTCTGTTGTATAAGTGGTAAAGGGAACTTACTGATAGTGTTAAATTCTATTATTATTTGAAAGGTCCTGTCTGAATACGTTGATGCCCAATGGGTTACTAGTAATATTTCATAATTATTTTTAGAAATGCTTGATATGTTTGTTAGTAAATTTTGTTTATAACAGTAATATTTGAAGAGCTCCTTCTAATAATGCAAATGCAGTGTTTTTAATTTTATATTTTTAAAGAAATTTTTTGGAAGCATGCAATTGGGCAAATAATAATTATACATTTTCCTCTTATCAGAAATTGCAAATCCAAGAGAAAGCAGCACAGGAGGTAAAACTGGCCATTAAGCCATTTTACCAAAATAAAGATATCACCAAGGAAGAATATAAAGAGATTGTACGAAAAGCAGTAGATAAAGTAAGTTGTAGCTTCAGTGGAGTTCTGTATGTTTTATTTTGAACTATCTCTATTTTAATAAAGGAATGCTTAAATCTAATTAAAATAAGAGCTACCTTCTTCTAATTGTCTGCTTCTTAAACTTTTGAATAAGTTCATATGAGGTATGAAACATGGAAAAAAGTCTGCTTTGGGATTAGTTGTTTTTCACAAAGCTTTATATTTTGCTTCCTTTAACTGTGAAAAAAAAATTTCCCCCATTTTTTCATAGGTTTGTCATAGTAAGAGTGGAGAAGTCAATTCTACTAAAGTGGCAAATTTGGTTAAAGCCTATGTAGACAAATACAAATATTCACGGAAGGGAAGCCAAAAGAAAACTCTGGAAGAACCTGTGTCTACTGAAAAAAACATAGGGTGAAATGGAGAGCACTATAAAGGACACTGTCAAGATATCTGCAAAGTGCAATTCCAATATGTACCTTTAACTGAAAATCATACATAACTGTGATTGACATTTGGTTTTGATAAAATTATTTTTTTTAACGTAGGATATAATGTTTTGTTCAAAATAAATAATAGTTCTGCACTGTAACTTCTATATCCTTTCCTTCTCTCCCCCGCCAATAAAAGCAAATTCAAGGGAAAGTAAAGGGGTTAAAGGAATGTGCATTTTTACTAGGACTGTGTTACAGTGTGGACACTAGAAGATGTACAGCTTTTTGATTTGAACAATGAAGTGCATAAATTAGAAATTTCTAAGTGCACTGGTTTTGGAAGAGATATATATATAATACGTTTATTCTGTCTGGCTAAAAATAAAGTATGATCTATATGATTTTTCCCTCTAATTATAGAAAGTTAAGTAATGTATTACCATGAAAAATATTTCTAATAACAGAACATACCAGTTGCAGGGCTCCTAATCTGTATTTTTAAAGCACACATCTGAATAAATTGCTTAGATAGAAAACAAATTATCACGAGTAAAATTCAGTGTTCAAAACTTTGGAACACTGTTGACCTATTGTATCACCAAATAAAGGGTATGCTGCTTGTTTTTCTTTGTGCCTTTCTTTCCCCCGATTGAGATGAAGCAGTTTCATTTGCTAGATATACAACTTTGGCAGTCTAAATTCTTTGTTGAATGTAGAAGACCAGTTTGGAAAAAGTGTTGACTTTGTAAAAATTGTAAAAATATTATTCTTTCATAATATTTCCTACCTATTAGAGATGATAAATTATCTGTGCCAACCAGAGAACTGCTTTTAAGTGGTGGTGACCCTCCCGTCCTTGGAACTAAGGTAGAATTATAAGACTCACTTTAGTGGCTTCGGGTGGTTGTTCGTCTGTCCAATCACTAATGAAATTCTTTTCACACTTGAGAAATCTCCACATGCTTTACAATGAATAAAGTTAATTTGGTGACTAGATGATGGCCATTAAGCATGTTGCAAAAATCTTGACATTAAAATCTGTGTTTTGGAAAGGGAGTGGAATTAAATAATGGCATTTTGGTTAGGCCTTCAGGGACTAGAGATTTGGTGTGTTTTTTTTAAATACTAGAATATGTTAATTTTTATAAAAGGTAAGTTAAAAGTATTATAGTACCATTATTTTAATAGGCATTTTGGAAGAAAACAATGGGTTGTCTCCATGATAATCTGTCTTTAATTCTAGTAACAATTTTCAGTAGATACCAAATATAACTGGAAAGCTATTCAGATAAGATGTTAATGGCTCAAAGATAAATATATGCCTCAGTGAGACAGACCCTTTTATTCGCTAAACTAGCAAGAGCAATACGCTATAGGACTGCTTTTCTGAAGTAAAGATTGTGTTTCTCAATTTTATGTGTATAATACTTTCCTGGTGCTAGCTTTGGTAGGCAAAATATTTTGAAATGATGGCCCCAGTAATGATTGTGCTAGTTCATAATTTTTGTTAGGTTATGAGTGTAATCCCAAAAAGTAATGGAAATACTTCCAAGCAGTTTTTGATCTTTATTCTGCATTTCTGGGCATTTGTAATATGGTATTCTACTGATTTTTATATATATATTTTTAATTAAAATTTGTGTTTAGATAATGGGGGAAGAAGTGTAGAAGTATATTTCTTCTAATAAAATATTAAGACAGTGTTTTAAATATAAGTGCACACATCCTCACTTATTTCAGCTTTGAGCTCTAGAAACAATTGTGTGAACTTTAAATCTATTTTGAGTTAAAGTTGGTTCACACTTTGAAAATTTTGTAGCCGATTAATCACACAATGCCTGCTTTTCCTTTGTTTTCTTTCAGTGACATTTGGGAATTGGGTGACATTTTAAAAGTTGCTTTACACCATTTATCTTTTGCAAACATGTTTAAAATAAGCTTTGAAGAAAAACTAGGTAGTGTGGTCAAGTCTCAGATCTTTGGTAGCACTGTCATGAATTATTTCCACCTTTCCTGAAAATAAGGTATAGTCCACATGTGGTTGGCATACCGGTTAGACTGCATTTAAAATAGCTAATGAAGAATGTTACTGGGTTAGATTTTCAAACTTGGAAATATTTAAGAATGTGTTAGAAAGTGCATGCTTTATGTTAAAAAATATACTGCTTTAACATTCCTCAGAAATTTATATTAATTTTGCATGTGCGCAAACTTAATCAAAAACATTCTGTGGGGTTACAGATTTCTCATGTTATTTATGAAGATTCAGTATTAACTTGACCTTTGGAACCTTGGTCCCTTCAACTTACTAGTCACATTGACCAATGTTTTAGGCTATAGTGATGCCTAGAATTTTGAGACTAAAGGTAGTTATTTATTATTTGAACATTCCAAAAGTTTTGTGATTTTTTTTATTGCCCTGGTAATTACCACATTTTCTTCATCATCTTCCTTTAAATGGCCATGGTGTGTGCTGCTTGAATGTTCCGTCCAAAAGATGGAGCTTCGGAAGCACAGGGGCTGCCTGTGGTCCTTGAGACACTGTTGCTGGTTTGAGGATGGAGTGCTGTCTACTGAAACAATGCTCTTAAACAGATATGTAGTATGTAATATTTTCTAATAAATTCTTTTGATAAACAACATAGTGTCGTTAACATTTTATTAAGAATCCTGGGAAATGGACTTTTACCTCATTATAACTCTTTCCAGACATTTGTTATTTCTTGGATTTGTACCAAAGTAACTAGCACCATAGTCGATGTCCAAGTTGTAAAGCAAGCTGAGTTACCGATAAGCATCTCTTTTAATAGAATTATTTTTCCTAAGAAAAAAAATCATTGTAGGAAATTAGAAAAACTTTAGCAAATAAAAATTGTAGAGGGAAGAAACGGAATAACAAAAGAAGAATCAGCTGTAACTCTTCCATTTAAAGGCAACAACTATTAACTGATCAAACGGCACATGATTGTTGTAACTCATCCTGTTCACTTGATGTATTGATGTAATAAAAATTACTCTACAGCACGATTTTTCATGGCTATATAGTATTGTATTACATAGATATTCCTTAACTTAAAACAGTCTTCTGTTGGATATTGTTTTTACTAATATAAGTAAGTTAGTAAAATATAAACTGTACTAATATAAATAAGACTGATACAGCCCTGGCTGGGTAGCTTGGTCAGGGCGCATAGGGGAAGCAACTGATCAATGTTTCTCTCCCCCTTCCTCTCTCAAATTAATCGTTAAAAACCCACCCTTGGGTGAGGGTTAACAAACAGAACAAAAACCTTATAACATCAGGTGAGGATTAAAATAAAAAAAGAACTGCCCTGCCCGTTTTGGCTCAGTGGCTGTTAGAGCGTCAGCCCACTGACCAAAGGGTCTCAGGCTCGAGTCCTGGCCAAGGGCATGTACCTGGGTCACAGGTTTCCAGCACGGGCCCTGGTCGGGGCGAGCGTGGGAGACAACTAATCAGTGTGTTTCTCTCACTTGATGTTTCCCTCTCACTACCGTCCCTCCCTCCCTTCTACTCTCTGAAAACCAATGAAAAAAATAAAGAGCTAGGCAAAGAGAACAAGTGAGTTGACAGAGGGATTAGGGGTACAAAAGGGCTGTGGCCAGAGAGCATGGCAACCCTGAGCCTAGAATAGTCGTAATGAAGATTGATGGCGATACATAGGGAGCCCCCCAAAAATGTATACACTGCGAATGATTTTAAAGTCAGTGTTTATTAACGTACAGTTCATTTTCAAAATTTAAAAGAATCTACAGAAATGAATCTTTTTTGTCAATGCCTGTTTTCAAACTGATGACCGTTTTTGATCCAGGTGCTGCTGATAACACAAAGCAGTGGAATCGCAACATCAAGAATCATTTTGTTTGGTATTTGGTTGCCCTCAATTCATCAACTGCTGGGGGTTTTATACCATAAACTTTATATTTTATGTATCCCCATTTAAAAAGTCTAGTGGAGCCCGGCCCAGCGTGGCTCAGCGCTTGAGCGTCCACCTGGGATCCAGGAGATCGGGGTTCGATTCCTGGTCAGGGCACATACCCGGGTTGCAGGTTCGACCCCCAGTAGGGGGCGTGCAGGAGGCAGCCAGTCAATGACTCTCATCATTGAGGTTTCTGTCTCTCTCCTTCGCCCTTCCTCTCTCTAAAATAAAGATATATTTAAAAAAAAAAAAAGTCTAGTGGATAAATTTTCTTAGTTCAAAGCTTAGTCTGGCTTCACCCATTATTCCAAATCAGTTAAACCTGAAAAGAAGTGAAAATTAAGTGAGTTGTCAGTTGTTAAAGTGTGTATTCAATTTTTGGGACACACACTTGGAATAATTATAAAGGCAGTGTTTGTACTTCAACTGCGTTTTCAAACTTCCAATAGCATGTTTTTTCTTGAACATATATCTATTGATATCAGAGAGAGGGAGAGGCAGAGAGTAGAAACATCAATGATGAGAGAGTCATTGATCGGCTGCCTCCTGCACGCCCCCTACTGGGGGTCGAACCTGCAATCCGGGCATGTGCCCTGACCTGGGACCAAACCTTGATCTCCCGGATCATAGGTTGATGCTCAACCACTGAGTGATGCCGGCTGAGCTCCAATAGCATTTTAGGATGGATTTCCTTTGTTCAGAGCTTAGTCTGGCTGAAAAGAAAGAAACATCAGTTGAACTATCAGCTGTTGAAGTGTGTATATGTGTTTTTGGGACACCCTGTCTTATTCAAATAAAAGCTTTTAAGCAGGATGTGTTTGACCTGATCAGATTTGTATTTTAAGCGATTGCTCAAAATCTTTAAAGGCTCAATAAAAGTGCTTAATAAACATGAAAAGTGCTCAACCTCACAGTTAAGTTAAACAATGTAATTTTATCAAACTAATAAAAAGAATTTTTAATTCTGACAAGAGTGCCAAGAGGAAACTCAGTATTGGTGGGAATGCAAATGTGTACAATTTTTCTGAAAGGAAATTTGAAAATAAGTAGAGCTTTAAAAAGGCCACATATGATATAAAGACACTGGTCCACATAATCCTTTCTAGATTTAATAGTGGAAAACTGGAAGAAGGTGGTTAAACTGCTTCATTCACGTGAAGGTATTCAGCTATTTTAAATGTTTTCAGGTAAAAAACAGAATAGCATTAAATGCAGAAAAAATAGGAACAAACTACAATATTCCGACATTATTTTTAAAGACCAAAAAATACAAAATATTGATAGAGGTTATTTCTGGATAGCACAGCATTTTCTCTATGCTGTTCTTTGGCTTCCAAATTTCCTATAGAGTACAAGAGTTGTATGATCAGGAAGAAAGAAAAAAAAAATTGCCGTCCTCAATGCTTGGGGAGTGAGGGGAGGGGGAGGGCCTGGAGGCTTTGCTCTCGGCTGGAGAGCTGCCAGCTTCCCACCAGCACTGGCCTGAAGTCTCAGCTTGAGCACCTGGCTGTGACAGGCGTAAATGGCTCCCCACACAGCTCCCAAGGGAAGACTCAGCCTCCTCTGGTAGCTGAGGGGTGCTAGTCTGGAAATATCAGCCTCCACTGGCTTTATAGGCTTAGGAAGCCCTAAATCATAAGGCAGTAGACTTCCCAAACCATAACTAGGTTGAGCATATTTCCCTCTCAATCCTGTGAGCACTAAAGAAGACAACCCATTGGTGGTGGTGAAGTGGGGGCTCGTGGCTTTAGAGTTCAGACAGAACTAGGGCACAGCTTTGTGACCTTAAGTATGTTACTTCTCTGAGCTGGAGTGACCTATATAAAAGGCGCTGTTGCTCACCTGCCTGGAGGCTTGAGATCATAGATGCTGTCAACAAAGGCTACTGCCACCAATCCAGTGCCAACAGGAGTCCCCCATGTGGGGTGTAGTGAAAGGAGAAAGTTAAACAGTTCGCAAGCCTGAGAAAGGCAATCTGGGAAGGAAACAAAGTGCCTTCATGGAGGCACAGGTGAGGCCAGTTCATATAAAGTCCCGCCTTGGTCCCTGATTGGTAAGAATTGGGTGATCTGATCGGTGGTTATGGAGCCATTCTGATTAGTCAGTACGGATGCAAATAAGCATATAGCTGCGCAGCTCCGATCGGATGGGGTAGGTCTTAGCCTTCTGGTTGCACGATTCCAGGAACATATTTGTAAGGTTTGGCGCAGAGGCAGGAATGCAGGTAGGAGGCTTAGCCACTCTGTGGCTTTGCCCTGCTATGCAATGTACTTGAAAAGCCTCTGTAAACAATGCATGCTAGACTCTGATTATGAATTTGGGCCCTGTTAACAAGAAATCCTTTTTGGCAGGTATATTCCTTCTCAGGGTCAACAATGTGAATGGCAAAGTATCTTACTGGATAATTTCTGCTCTGATATCCAGGCTGGTTTTCCCACTGTCTCCTCTTGGATAATGATGGATGGAAATACAACTTGCTTGTTCAGTGGTTTGCAATCTAGATCGTATTTAGGTTTGCAAGGTAGCTCTCATCTCAGACCAGTTAGTGTCTCTGGGTGTGGGATAGTTCATGATCTCCCAGGTGGAGGCCAATGAGCAACCAAGGAGCAAAGCACAATCAATTTTTTAGATCCCCTGTACATCACAGCTGTTCTGTTAGAAAAACATAATTAATTAGGTCACAGCTTGTCTTCAAACTGTTTGGATTCTATCCCTGCTCTCCGAAGCAGCACCAGCACCTGAGAGTTTGCTCCCCTGCCCTTTTTAAACCTTGTTTTCAAATCCTAATCTACTTTATCTGGGGTTAGACCCCACTAAGTAGACAAATGAGGTCTTGAACATTTCCAGGGTGTTCACACACTTCCAGGGTGCAATCAGACTCTTGCAGAAGCCCAGCTGTTGATAACGTCAGGATGTGTACGCTTAATTCCACAGTTTTTATTTACACACTCGCCTAAAGGAATTATAGACGCTTCTAAAACTAACAATGTAACATGGCTTTTTCTAAATAATTTCAAGGTGCCTTTCTCTTTTCCACTTTAACAGCTGACATCATGTCCTCCTTAGCTCTAGCAAGTACAAGTTTGATTGCCAATCATAGCAGCAGTGGCTAACGTTGAGTGCTTCTTACTAGATCTGTGCCAATATTTTATTCACATAATCTTTCATTTTCATAACCCTGAATGTAGGTCCTATTACAAACCTCATTTTACAATGAAATGAGGAATGAAGTTACCTGAGATCACTCAGCTAGTCAGTGGACAAGTCAGACTTCACAGATGGGCCTGAGTCCGAAGTCTATCCCTGTAACCAATCTCACAGTCCCGCCTCTCAGCTCATCGCGAGGTCTACCCAGCTACATGTGACTCCAGTTGCTCTTCCTCACTCAACTCACCCAGGCAGGTTGGGCACCGGAAGTGGCTTTTCCATGTTTCTATATCCACTGCCTCTCTCCAGAGTACATGCAATTCTCATAATCACTCAGTCAACTATGACCAACTGGTCTCCTGGCTAGTCTCCTAGGTAAGAGACTGAAGTTAGTATGTGTGCACTTAAAATTGTGCTTTCTGTATTGGACTGTGGCAGCTCCCAGCTCCTTTTCTTTTTCTTTCACTGAGCTATGATTTTAACAAACCATGCCAATTTTCAAAGGGTGTACAACTCAGAAAGTTGCCTGTTCCCAGGCAACAGTGTCCTGTTGCCCTGCAAGAGGGAATTTGTTGAGAGGGTCAACCTCAAAATTAGTGTTATCTTTCAGTTTAGCTGTAAAGAGGGCATCATATCTGAAAATTCAAGTAGATAAATTCTCTCTGAAGCAAATCCTAAATGTTTTTACCAGCAGTTTAGGGAAGTCACAGTGTCTAGTCCAGGGATTCTGGAGCCCGTCTCAACCAAATTTGGTTCAACCTATTTGCTACCTTTGGTTTCCAGACTACACTTCATGGAGCCCTTTAGGTTCTTTTGGCAGCGGAGTCATTTCTCTGCTTCAGCGACACCTACCCCAACTCTGCTCCTCTCTGGAATTGTCAAAAGTTTTATGTCTGGTAGTTTTGTTTATGTGTATGGAGAGTTTATAGCTTTGATCTA